CTTTTTTCTTACTTCTTTTCTTGTAGGCAATTCATTTTCTAGACTAAGGCCCCTGGACATTTAATTTCAATGGAAGCATCCAGTGAGAATCTAGGAATAAAAATGATTTATGAGTTTATAGCAGTGTCTACACAATTTAAAAAATTAATCAAAAGACTACATGGATTAATTGAACTAGGCATTTGTTCTCATATAGACCAATTACTTATTTCTCCCCTTTTCAAACTGTTTTAACGGTGGGTGGTTATATATCAGACAAAGGCAAACTCAGGCTTAAAATAAATAGCCTTCCATCAAATATCATTCATATGTCAACAAACACTCATTCAACAAATTGTTATGCTTTCAACAAATATTCAGTCACCAAGTACCCATGTATTTGGCCCCTTGCTCTTACAATGTCCCAGGGCTCAGTGTTGACCCTCTTCTCTTCTTCCAAAGGAGTATACTCTTTGAAGATATCATCTGGCCTCATGGATTAAATTACCATCTATAAAATGATGACTTCCAAATTTAAATATAAAGCCCAAACGTCACCCCTGAACTGCAGACCTATATAGCCAAACTTCTATAAACATTTCACTTGAATATGTAATAGAATTGTAAACTACGATGCCCCATATTGACCATCTCCTAATCCCCACCCAAAGCATGTTCTTCCACAGACTTCTCCACATCAGTTAGTGGAAATCCCAACCTTTCAATTGCTCAGTCCCCCAATCTTCAGTAATCCATGATCTTTTTTTAATTTTTTAATTTTATTATGTTATGTTAATCACCATACATACATCATTTGTTTTTGATGTAGTGTTCCATGATTCATTGTTTGCGTAGAGCACCCAATGCATTATCTTTTTATTTCTCTTCTATCACCTATCCAACCCACAGCAAACCCTACTGACCTATTTTGACATACGTACAGACTCTGACCACGTTTTGCCACCTCCACAGCTCCTACCTGATCCGAGCCACCATTTCTTTTCTAGATTATCACAAAGTCTTCCTAAATGGTCACCTTGCATCTTCCCTTGCTTTCTTCTATCCATTCTCTATGCATCAGTCATAGTAAACCTGTTAAAATATGTCAAAACATGTTATTCCAAAGGCATCCAGTATAAGTCAGAATAAAAGTCAAAATCCTTATAATATGGTCTACAAAGTCCTACTGAATTAGGCTCCATGTGACCTATTTGACCTCATTTCTTTTTTTTTAAATTGAAGTAGAGTTGATAATGTGATTTTATTATTAAAAGATAATAGTCTAATATGGAGAATGGATAAGATTCGAGCAAGCTGGAATTAGGAACACTGGATAAAATTTTATTGCTGCAATATAGTAAGAAATGAAAATGGACTAAACTAAGGCTCAGGGGAAGGCACTGGAAGACACAACTAGGCTGTGCTAACTCCATGCTAAATCACTGCCACTTTCAGGTCTGAGAACTTGAAAGGACAAGCAAGCTCACAAACTGTGCCCTGCAGTAACACCTGGCATCCGTATTGCATAGCATTTAGGAACAGCTGCTGCTAAGCATGGACAAATTCAATTTGTGTAAACATTTTGTATAAAACGCCATCAACCTCAAAGAACTGACTGCAGGCACATAGAAAAGTATGATGTTTTACACACAATATGGTTGTATTCAGTATGTTCACTCATTCATTCACAAATATTTATTGAGTAGGAGTGGGTGCCCGATACCCTGTAGGGATGGTGGATACAGCAGTGAAAAACGAACAGCAATCCCTGCCCTCATGGAGATTATATCCCAGTAGAAGAGATCAAAATAAACAGATGTCTACAGTAGTGTGTCAGATGGTGACAACTCTAATGGAGGGAAACTACGCTGACAAACTTTTGAGCAAGGCTCGGAGAGGAGAGATCCAGGCAGGCAGCTATTTGGATATTTGAGCCGAGAGAAAATTCTCCACCTACCATAATGTTTTCACTCAAAATATGTAACTGGTTTTCGGGTATCTTTTGTTTTAATCATGAAAGGTATATTTCTCTCTGGCAAGCAGTGACCTGATTCCCTCTCAGGATCCCCCAGCTTCTCCGAGCAGCTTAGAGACAGATAAAGTTCAAGGGTGTGAACCAGGTCCTTCCCCAAAAGCGGCTGGGTCCTTTCTTGGACATGACATACGTAAGCATCTCTCAGGCTGGCCGGCATGTCCACAACCCCATGTCTAGCCAGCATCAGCTATGCCTTTATTTGGATGTTATTCCTTTTTAAAATAAAAACAGTTGCATTTTTTTCCTTTATGAATATAATGCATACAAATAATTTTAGGGGAGACAGTAAAAAGTGTACAATTAAAATAAAAATCACTTGTTTTCGATCCAGAGATAAGCACTGTTTCTATCTGAGGTCTTGATAGTCCAGATAACCCTTAATTGGGGAAGGGTGGGGCATACCCCTTTAAATAAAGCAGATGCCTTCCTTTTTTGGGGTTGAACAGAATTCCAATGCATGCATGTAACACTCAGTTGCCTCTTGGATGCCATTCTCTTCCAGAGGCTACATGCTGCTTTTTCAGGAATGATCCTCTATAGACCAGGCAGAGGTTGGAATATTCTATTACTGAATATTCTCTGCCTGTGTACATTCTGCCTGTCTACATTCATGCCCATGTAGATACATTTTTTTTCTGGAACACACAGTGACATAATTTGATTGGGGAAGACCTTTACCTGAGCAACTGTAAATGGGAAATTTATAACTTCTTTCTTTCTTTCTTTTCTTTCTTTCCTCTTTCTTTCTTTCTTCTTTCTTTCTTTTTTTTCTTTCTTTCTTTCTTTCTTTCTTTCTTTTTCTTTCTTTCTTTCTTTCTTTCTTTTCAGGATGGGGAGGGGCAGAGGGAGAAGGAAGAAGAGAATCTTAAGCAGGCTCCTCACACAGTGAGGAGCCCGGGGAGCGGGGGGGTTGGTCTTAGGATGCTGAGATCATGACCTGAGCTGAAATCAAGAGTCAGACACTTAACTGACAGAGCCACCCAGGTGCCCCTATAATTTATTTCTTTGAATAAAGGAATCTTCTGGGGACACTAACATAAATTCAAAATACAAGTAATAAGACAACTATACTGACTGCACCATTGAGAAAACTGCTTAATGTCTCTGAGCCTCAGATTCATTTGTCCTCGGGTTCAAGGTCCTGTTCATCAAGACATTGAAAATATCCACCTTTTTATATGTCAGTTTGTTAGTAAGAAAGATGGCATAAGTGAAAGTACCTTGTGACTGCAAAATGCCATGCAAATGCAAGGTGTTATTAATTATTAAGACAGTCCTTTAGTGTCTTAAACCTCCCGTCTTCAACTCAACTCTCAAAGCTTGCATCTTCAAACTACAGGAACACAAATGGACCAAAAACTGTAGCATTAAACTACAGTGCCCCCTAGCCCATGTAGGAGGTCAGGACAGCTGATGAGCTTCATGAATAAGCTCTACCACAGATGGTTCTTTTGCCTGAGGGAAGGGCCATTAATTGTACTTTTGGATGATTTCCATCTGTCCAAAAGGAAAAACACTTATGTGTTTTCTTCAGTATTTTCCTGTAACGTTCTTTTTATTTCTAATTTTTAAAAAGGAGTAAAAAATATTCTTTACTATTTAAATTTTCGTTCTCCAAATTGCTTTCAAAATGAAGAGTATTTCTAAAAAAAAAAAAAGAAAAACACTAGATTTGTCCGAAGACTCATTGTAATGTTCCTGATTTATATATGATTACCCATTCACATTCACCAAATTCTTTATAATCCATTGTAAGAGAGGATATTGGTCATAGTGTTTTTTTTTTTTCACAGAGAGGAAATAGGGGGTTTAGCTTTTTTTCAAGATTGCACAGCATGCAGCTATTCAGCCCACTAGTTCCAATATGTATTAGATCTACCAACAGAGACAGGATTGTGCAAGGAAAAACCACTGATTATTTTAATATCACAATGTAGAAATATTTGTTACCATGGCTTATAAAAACCTGTATTGAAAATATATCAACCGCTTCCTTCCATAGGCTATAGTTCTTTTGTTATCTTCAGTTCTTAATTTTCTAGATTTTTGTGGAAATTTTTAATTTTTAATAGTCCAGGGGTTAAGTTGGATCCCAAAGTGATGAGTCCCTAGGAAACTGAACTTATTTTATGGGTTTATTTTCCATGCTGAGCATTTAAGTATTAATCAGCACTGCTTCCAGGGATTTCTTTCTAACATCCTTTTCTATGTAAGATAAGGACTGCAATTCATTAGACTATTGGAGGAGCCAGAGGCTTTGCTAAGCTTTGCTTTTCTTGATAGTTCATCTCGAATTTAATGCGAGTTTGTGTGCGCTTGTGCGTGGGTGTGTCTATATTATACTAGTGACCAGACTTGAATTATGACACAATCTTGGTTGTCTTTCAGGCTAAATTGTCTCTCCTCTTTAGGGGTCAAAGATCATTTCAGGCTCAGAGTCCTTTCTACTACCTACTATGGGAAGCAGCAAATGTGATCTTGTGAAACTGAGGGGTGACTTTTATCACGTTATTTTTCTTCAGATTTCTCTATCAACCTAGCTCAGAAAATACTCGAGAAATAAAAAGAACTCTTTACCAACTACTAGGTTTCTGTGATCTGATCATTTCTAAAGTGAAAACCTCTATTGCCCTAGCAATAGTCCCTTAAATGTTTTATTTCTCTTAGGCATAAACATCACAAACAACAAACCCTCAAGCCCACAGCAAAGAGAATGCAGACACAGGGCACCATTCCTTTTCCCACTGCTTTTTTAACTTGGGGTGGTAGGCTAAATTTTGGCGAAGATGATGACATTCACGGGAGGGGCGGGATAAAAGTGTGTCTATAATTACGCGTTAATGGCAGAACTCGCCTTAACCACTTCCCCTCCCGCACCGTGGTGAATTTCCCCTGTGTGCTCCCATGTGGATCCAGAGACCCTTCTCTCTTTAAGAGAGCCTCCCGCGCCCCTCACTCCGCCCCCTCCCAGGTCTCTGGTCTCGTCAAAGCTTTCCGAGAGCCAGGGTTGGTCCAGGCAGGGAATCGGAGCACCTCATGGAGCCGCTGCTAACCGGGGGTGGGGTGGGGTGGGGTGGGGGGGTCTGTTTGTAGTACTCTCAGTCCTGATGTCACAGGCGCGGCAAGGACATCGCAAGGAGGAGTCGGATTACAGTAAGGATGGGCAGTGCAGCAGGCAGCCGGAGCGCACGCTCCAGCCGCTGGGGATCGTAGCCCGGGAAAGGCAGCCTGCAAGGCGCTCATCCTGCGGAGGACGCCGGCTCGGCGCTCGCTGCTCTCCACGCCGGGGTCATTTCCACCGAGTGTAGCATGAAACGGCTCTGCTCTGCGTGTCAGCCTTGGGTGCGAGCTGATGCTGAAGACGCCGCGGTGGGGTTCCAGCTGTCTGATTAATGAGAAACATAATGTATTTTGGTGAGTGTTAGCTCTGATGATGTAATTCTGGGGGTGTCCAGCTCTTCACCAGGGCAGAGCAGCCCTTCACAAAAATCTTTAAGCCGCGAGAATATGTTACATTAACCCTACCTCCAGTTGGCAAGTGGAGGACCAAGCTGGTGCAGCCGTCAGAGCTTCCTTTGTGCTACAATTGGGGCTGTTTATTAGTCGTGGATGAGTTTAAGTTGGAAAAGAAAGGAAACTGGTGGGGGTGGATAAACTTTGCCATGATTTGTCTGCGTGAAGTTGGCTTTTTTAGCTAGGTGAAGGAGAAATGGTGCGGCGTGGGAAGTCATGGGCTAACTCAATGGAATGTAAAACTAAGTTCCTATACTATTGATGCTGTGAAAGCTTAGTCGGTATCAATGTTTCAGTAGGCATTTTGGTTTTTCCCTAATTCTGAGACAAAAAGGGAAAACATTCTTTGGTGTGCAGTGGTTGAGCAGCTGAGGACGCTCCTCCATACCATCCCATTTTCCTTCTAGCTACAACAGCCTAGCACAAAATGCATATTATTTTAAACCTTTAGAGATCTCGAAGCTGTTAAATATTTGTGCAGTTTAGTTGTGTGCCACGGTGGTAAGCTCCCTAAAGATTTTCAGCTGAGCTCCCTGCATTTCCAGAAAACATGCTGAGGCTTAGATGTGGGCTATCCCTGGAGCACTCTAAGAGGGCTGGGAGCTGTATGTTCTCACTGTAACGCTGCAACTTACTGCTGGGAGAGAAGGCACAACCCCTTCACTAAATGAGAAGAAGCCAAGGATTGGGACTGAATAACCTTCCCTCCTCCCTGAAGTTATGCTTTCCTTCTGTAAGTTCCATCCCGCGTCATCATCCGAGGGCATCTATCTGATGTTAAAAGGTTTGTGAGAACAGCTGGAGAGGGGCCAGGGAGGATTCCAAGATGCAAATGCTCTGGGTGATTTCTTGGTTTGCTTTAAATCTGAGATCGAGAGTGATTTTTCAGATTAAAGAGGGGCTTAGGTAAACTTGTGCTGGGGGACTATTAGTTTCTTGAGCATTTATCTGTGTGTACTGTTTGCTTTGTTTGTTTTCTTGAGACTTTGAAACATTTGTGAAAGTATGGAAAGAACACAAGTTGGGAAAGCTGAATGCCTTTGGTTGTCTTGACAGCAGTTCTGATTTCCCTATAATGTGTGTCAGCTTAGAAAAGAAGTCTTAAAAATAATTAAAATTGATTTGGAAGAAACAATCATCATTTCATAGCCAAATTTAAGCCGAATCCAGAGTTAAACAACACCCCTTTCCAGGGGTAGTGATGGAGGTGATAAGCTTGTTTATTGGCAGGTGATAAAACACCAAGTGTTTCTTGTGAATATATTTTTGATAAATGGGAAATCTTGTAAAGGAATATATCTTTTGGACAAAATAAAATTTTGGCATCTGTAATGATATTGAGGGGTAAGAAGTAGGAAGTATAATTTTAGCTTAAGTTTTTAGCCTCTTGCAACAATTCCTTATGTGGTTGTGGTGAGGAAGGAGGGTTGGCCAGAGTAGTGGCATAGTCTAAAAGTACTGGTCAGTGGCCATCCGTGCTGTCCTGGATTATCATGTGGCTGTTGGAGAAATGTTCACTGGGCTAGCTCATGTTAACTGTAGGCTAGTCCAGCTGTCCTGTAAAGCAGGGTGATTCACAGGACAATTAGTTTCACTGTGTAATGCAAGTTTTTAATAGTACGAATTGAAATGTGATGTCCTACTTCAGAGGAAACTATACTCTTTTAAAGGCAAAGCTAAAGTTGCCCTCTGTGTCATGAACAGGGTTCAGTCTTACCATAATTCCGGCATGAGAAACGTTTTTCTATTCCTGGGGGAAATCGTGGGTATTCAGGAATGCCGTTTATTTCAGGTTATGCTATGCAGCCCCTCGCTCAAGCTGTTAGACATTCAGAACTCTGAGAGCCCACCTGTCTCTAATAAAATGCATGGTATAAGAGGTAGGGCAAGAAGAATGGAGCAAAACAACCCGGGCATTTTCAAGATTCATTAGCATCCTAATGTTTGCAAATCTCTAAGACTGCGCGCGCGCGCGCGCGCATGCGTGTGTGTGTGTGTGTGTGTGTGTGT